GGGGTGGTGGTCCCTCTGTATAAGAAGGGGGACCGGAGGGTGTGTTCCAACTATAGGGGGATCACACTTCTCAGCCTTCCCGGTAAGGTCTATGCCAGGGTACTGGAGAGGAGAATCCGGCCGATAGTCGAACCTCGGATCCAGGACGAGCAGTGTGGTTTTCATCCTGGCCGTGGAACACTGGACCAGCTCTACACTCTCCATCGGGTGCTCGAGGGTTCATGGGAGTTTGCCCAACCAGTCCACATGTGTTTTGTGGATCTGGAGAAGGCATTCGACCGTGTCCCTTGTGGTGTCCTGTGGGGGGTGCTCTGGGAGTATGGGGTCCGGGGCCCTTTGCTAAGGGCTGTCCGGTCCCTGTATGACCGGAGCAGGAGCTGTGTTCGCATTGCCGGCAGTAAGTCAGACCTGTTCCCGGTGCATGTTGGACTCCGCCAGGGCTGCCCTTTGTCACCGGTTCTGTTCATTGTATTTATGGACAGAATTTCTAGTCGCAGTCAGGGGCCGGAGGGGGTCCGGTTTGGGGACCACAGGATTTCATCTCTGCTGTTTGCGGACGATGTTGTTCTGTTGGCTTCATCGAGCCAGGACCTGCAGTGTGCACTGGGGCGGTTTGCAGCCGAGTGTGAAGCGGCTGGGATGAAGATCAGCTCTTCTAAGTCTGAGGCCATGGTTCTCGACCGGAAAAAGGTGGCTTGCCCTCTCTGGGTGGGTGGGGAGTCTTTGCCTCAAGTGGAGGAGTTCAAGTATCTCGGGGTCTTGTTCACGAGTGAGGGGAGGACGGAACGGGAGATTGACAGGCGGATCGGTGCAGCTTCGGCAGTGATGCGGTCGCTGTATCGGACCGTTGTGGTGAAGAGGGAGCTGAGTCGAAAGGCGAAGCTCTCGATTTACCGGTCAGTCTTCGTTCCTACTCTCACCTATGGTCATGAGCTCTGGGTAGTGACCGAAAGGACGAGATCGCGGATACAAGCGCTCGAAATGAGTTTCCTCCGCAGGGTGGCTGGGCGCTCCCTTAGAGATAGGGTGAGGAGCTCAGTCACACGGGAGGAGCTCGGAGTAGAGCCGCTGCTCCTCCACGTCGAGAGGAGCCAGTTGAGGCTCGGGCATCTGTTCCGGATGCCTCCTGGACGCTTCCCTCGGGAGGTGTTCCGGGCATGTCCCGCCGGGAGGAGGCCCCGGGGAAGACCCAGGACACGCTGGAGGGACTATGTCTCTCGGCTGGCCTGGGAACGCCTCGGGGTCCCCCCGGAGGAGCTGGAGGATGTGTCTGGGGTGAAGGAAGTCTGGGAGTCCCTGCTTAGGCTGCTCCCCCCGCGACCCGGCCCCGGATAAGCGGACGAAAATGGATGGATGGATGGAGGAGCCTGACAGAGAGGGGTGACAGTTTTTCAGTGCTAAGTGAATTGGAGCCAGGAAGCCGGTTGAGGCCCCATGCTCACTTTCTGTTTGGAAGGCGGTAGCTAGCAGATTAGCAATGTCCATTTCTACAATCTAGGGGTCCTCCTCCTGCTTGTATCCATGGAAATGTTGTTCCTTTGGCTATAATCTTTCACTGTATGGCATAAAACGTATCCATGTCCATGGAGAGTGTTCCGAAGTATGCTTTTAACTTTCTATTTCCATGGAAATAAAAATGTAGTACCATTAAAATGGCCAACAATAGACAACACAACAACGTATCTGGAATTTCCTTAATTCCAGATAATTCCTTACTGTGGAATAATACTTTAAGCACAATTTAACTTGTTGTGGAGTGGCTGCCAGCTGAGCGGCTCTGGCCACTACTGTTTAATGTTCCACATGTATGGCTTTAAAGTGGTTTATTTTACATTCTTCTGTTACAGGTGTTTTATTGCCAAAAGTACTACCTCCTGCATTCTTCTTATGAGCCGGTTGATTTCCCTCTTGTTTTAACTCGTATTTGACTTCAGACGTAACTTAACTATAGAAGTGTGAAACCGGACCATAGGCATATCTTAGCACAGCTGAGGCTAGAGTTACATATAAAAGTCTGCAGTGTGCAGCTAAAGGAGCCTTCTCTTTAGTATGAGCTGGAGTATGTCACAAACACTACACGACAGTAAGAATAAACATTTAGATGGGCACAGTGGAAGGTTCATTGTGTATGTCACTTTTCTGTGAGTGTCTGTCACCTGCTTGTCTCCATGGAATGTTCCACAGTATTGCATTAAACTTCATTCATCTCCACGGTACCAGCATGCCCACTTTGAAACATTGCCATTTAACATGGAAATAGTAACTTTTCCTAAGAGAGGACTGGCATTAAAACACACGAGCTCATCCCTGACCATTAGACACACAGACCGTATAAAGAAGTGGGCTGAGCGAGTGTGACGTAACCCATCCATCCAGCTCCAGTCAAATGAAGCTCATCAAGGCCTGCAGTTATAGGAGCGAATTTGGAGTTAAGTTGTGTATTTGGAATTCTGATTGCGAGTATCATAGCAACCCAAAAACCAATCAGGAGCGAGACTGTTGAAGGCAGCGCCCCTTCCTTTAAAAACACTGTCAATCAAACATGTTGCTAATGTTAGCAGCAGCAACCTCAGGAAAGCAGGCACCTGACTGTTATTAATGTTCACATGTTGACTTGGGTCAAAACAAAAAACAAAAAAAAACCCCGGATCATCTAGAGTGGGGTAACTTAAGACCAAAATAAGGAGTGTGACAGCAGCAGTTACAGAAAGAGGGGGCACCATCTTTTAATATAAAGTTTTTGAGCTGGAAGCTTGCCCGTGCTCACTTGTGTTTTATTTTCTGAGTGTGTGTTAGTGTGCTAGTTGTTGTTTGCTTTACTGTTCTGGTGTAACACCGCTCTGCTCTCTGAAAGTTGAGAAAAGTGCTCAGAAAGCAGAAGTGAGTGAGGTGTAACTCTGAACCACTGCAAACTGCAACATGTTTGCAGTGTTGATCTGAGCCCATGAGACATGGGGGCAGTTGTTTTGACCTAAATCCTGAGCGGGTTCTGGACTCTTCTCTGGCTCTGTGCTCCGGTTGTTTCAGTGAAATGGGTTTGGTCACATGACGTCGGGCCGATGTAGGTCACTGTTTGTGTGGAGTCACTGCCGACACCACACTCAGCACTCTGCCCTAAATCATCATCTGTGAACAGAGGAGGGCGAGAGGAGAGAGACGGAGGAGAGGAGGGGGACAGGGAGAGAGAGGTGAGGAGAGAGAGGAAAAAAAGAGAGAGGCGAGAAAGAAAGAGGGGAGTCACTGCCCGACACTGCACTCAGCACTCTGCTCCAAAACACATAAGCTGTGAAGAGACAGAGAAAGAGATGGAGTCGGAGATGAAGGGAAAGAGAAAAAAGGAGGGAGAAGGAGGAAGAGAGAGAGAGGATCAGAGACAGAAGAGGAGGAGAGAGAGAGAGTGTGGACAAGGGAGAGGAAGAAGAGAGGGAGATAAGGAGACAGACAGAGCAGAAAGGTGAAGAGGTAAGAGATGGAGAGAGAGGAAGGCATGGAAGTGGGAATGAAGGGAGGGGAGGAGCAAAGGGAGCGAAAGGGAGAGAGAAAGGTAGGAGGAGAGAGAGGGGAAGAAAGAAAGGGAGGGAGAGGAAGACAAAGAGGAGGAGGAGAGAAAGAGAGAGGGATAGAGGAGGGAGAGAGAGAGAGGGGAAAGGGGAAGAGGTAGGAGATGGAGAAAAGAGAGATGAGAGAGACAAGGGGGATGAGAGAGAGAAGAAAAAGGACTTGGAGCTACGTCTGTCATGTTAACACATTTTGGAGCAGACAGGGAAGGAGGGAAAGAGAGGGAGAGGGGGAGAAGAGAGCAGGTGAGAGGGGAGAGGAGGAGAGAGGTGAGGGAGAGAGAGAGAGAGAGAGAGAGGGGAGAGGAGAGAGAGAGGAGAGAGTGAGGAGGAGAGAGCAGGTGAGGGGGAGAGGGGAGAAGAGAGCAGGTGAGAGGGGGAGAGGAGGAGAGAGCAGGTGAGAGGGGAGAGGAGGAGGAGAGCAGGTGAGGGGGAGAGGGGAGAGAGCAGGTGAGAGGGGGAGAGGAGGAGAGAGCAGGTGAGAGGGGGAGAGGAGGAGAGAGCAGGTGAGAGGGGGGAGAGGAGGAGAAGCAGGTGAGAGGGGGAGAGGAGGGAGAGAGGAGAGAGCAGGTGAGAGGGGGAGAGGGGAGAAGAGAGCAGGTGAGGGGGAGAGGAGGAGAGAGCAGGTGAGAGGGGGGAGAGGAGGAGAGAGAGGTGAGAGGGGGAGGGGGAGAAGAGAGCAGGTGGGGGAGAGGGAGGAGGAGAGCAGGTGAGAGGGGGAGAGGAGGAGAGCAGGGAGAGGGAGCAGGTGAGGGGGGAGAGAGGAGGAGAGAGCAGGTGAGGGGGTGAGGGAGAGGAGGAGAGAGCAGGTGAGAGGGGGAGAGGAGGAGAGAGCAGGGGAGAGGAGGAGAGAGCAGGTGAGAGGGGGAGAGGAGGAGAGAGCAGGTGAGAGGGGAGAGGAGGAGAGGAGGAGAGAGCAGGTGAGAGGGGGAGAGGAGGAGAGAGCAGGTGAGAGGGGGAGAGGAGGAGAGGAGGAGAGAGCAGGTGAGAGGGGAGAGGAGGAGAGAGCAGGTAGAGGGGAGGAGAGGAGAGAGCAGGTGAGAGGGGGAGGGAGGAGAGGCAGGTGAGAGGGGGAGAGGGGAGAGAGGAGGAGAGGAGAGGGAGAGGAGGAGAGCAGGTGAGAGGGGAGAGGGAGGAGAGGAGGGAGAGGGGAGAGGAGGAGAGAGCAGGGGAGAGGGGGAGGGGGAGAAGGGGTTTGAATGTAATAGATCTGAGACTGACCAATCACAAGGCAGCACTATGGTTTGCGTGGAAGCCAGCACCAAATGAACCAGAACAAACATTCGTACGTACTTGAGTCTATTTTACATACAGACTATTTAGTTTGTGAAGAAGATGCAGAGGGGAGAGCTTTGTGGATTTGTGGAGAGAAAGACGTCTGTATTAACTGTATAATGAGTTTTGTGATGTTTTAAATCCTGTTCCTGTGTCTTCTGTCGTCAGGCTAAAGAGATCCTGACCAAAGAGTCCAACGTCCAGGATGTGACGTGTCCGGTGACGGTGTGTGGAGACGTGCACGGACAGTTTCACGACCTCATGGAGCTGTTTAAAATCGGGGGGAAGTCTCCAGACACAAACTACCTGTTCATGGGCGACTACGTGGACCGCGGATACTACTCCGTGGAGACGGTCACTCTGCTCGTAGCACTAAAGGTAAGATCACATTCAGATTTACAAAAGGCACTTTGATGGTGGAAGTTGCTGTTTATGTAATGTGCAGGAGGATAGATACTGCCATACCTCAGTATAAATGTCATTTTCCGTGACTGTTCTGCTCATCCCTAGTTTGTAAAGGACATTATTTGACCTAAATACAATACTCCACTTGTAGCACTAAAACAAAGCTCCCATCTAGGCTTAAAAAGTCTAACGATGTTCCCTCCTCATTAACTTCCTCAGAGTTGTATTTTGGTGGAGTGTCTGTCAAATGCTTTGTTCCATGGGGATGTTATTACTTTATTTTAATTATTTTTAAGTAGAATAAATGTGAAACATGATCAAGGAAGAAATTGATTCTGCTTTAAAATCAGAATAAACCTCCCTCTTACTTTGGAATTAAGTTTAATTCTGAATAATCATTTCATTACGAACATGTTTTTAGAACAAGAACAAGTTTACGTGTTTTTTTTCTCTCTAATGAAGAATTCATTTTTATTCAGAATTAAATTATTTTTATTCAGAATTAAAGCTGTCATGTAAATGTGGCAAGTATGGCATTATACCTTTCTATCTTCATGGGGACGTTATTGGTCAGATCTGTGGAGAGGCGACCCTTCTCACAGCCAGAATGCTGAATGAGAATGTTTTTCTATGTATTTTTGAGTTATAAAAAGTTATAAAACCACCTGTAATTGACATTAAACAACTCTACATTATATTTATTTATAGTGTGGAACATTCCAGGCAGAACAATGACATATCCAAATGTAACCAAAAAGTCACATAGTGCACCTTCAAGTAATCCATTTGAGCAATGTTGGTTTTCACCGGCAGTAGCTCAGTTGGTAGAGCATTCGCCCACTGATCTAAAGGTTGGCGGTTCGAATCCAGCTCTCAACATAAAAAACATCACAGGTTGAGCGGTCAGATCCACTGACCCACAGGTTGGCTGGTGTGATTCCAGCTCCCACAGATGAATGCTGTCGTTGTGTCCTTAGGCAAGACACTTAACCCACCTTGCCCACAGTGTCTGCGTACACTGGTGTGTGAATGTGCGTGTGAATGGGTGAGTGGTTCCTTGTTGTAAAGTGCTTTGAGTGCCTTGAAGGTGGAAAAGCACTATAGAAAAATGTGACCATTTACCATTTACCTTCCCCCTATCCCCACCCACTGCTCTGTATTTACTGCCAGTTAGTGAAGTGAGGAGGCAGTGTACATTTCCCTGTGGTGTGTCTGATGTGGCATCTGATGTTGTGATCAGGTCCGGTATCGCGAGCGCATCACCATCCTCAGAGGGAACCATGAGTCTCGACAGATCACACAGGTCTACGGCTTCTACGACGAGTGTCTGAGAAAATACGGGAACGCAAACGTGTGGAAGTACTTCACCGACCTGTTCGACTACCTGCCCCTCACAGCACTCGTGGACTCTCAGGTCAGACCCCTCTTCTAGGACGAAGAGTTTAGGACTGTGAAACACCTTATGGTGTAGATGTTTTCACTTTTTTACCTATTCTAAATATGTGCTAACTATTTATTATAGGTTTACAGCAGTTAAGTGCCAGTCTGTGGAAAAAAGTCCAAAATACAGGAAATATCTTTGAGAAAAACAGAATCCCTCTGCCTATGTCATCAACACCAAAAACTCCACCCAAAATACAGAGACAATTTATATCCAAGAAAGGCATTTCTCTGACACTTTAAACAATGATTTAACAAAATAAAGGTGTAGACATTTTTTTATTAGTCTAATCATAACTACTCTGTCATTTAGCCCTTGTTTATGGTATGGTTGCTAGGTAACAGTTATGGAATTACTTATTAATCTGCTGCCTGTGTCCAACCAGCAAGTAAAAAAACATCTTGCGCATAACAATGTTAACTAAGTTTTAGAGAAATGAGTCTGTTCAGAGGCCTGGCACTTTAATGGCACTGTAGACCCTCAAAACTAATCACAATTGCAATACTCAGAAAAATCACAATTAGACTTTTTTTCCCCAAATCGTGAGACAGAATATTCACGTGTGCTCTCCCTGTTTGTCCTGTAGATTTTCTGTCTTCATGGAGGCCTGTCCCCGTCCATAGACACTTTAGACCACATCAGAGCTCTGGACCGCCTACAGGAAGTCCCACACGAAGTACGCAGCTCACCATTCACAATACTACTCCCAAGTACTGTACTGTACCATCACTCCTACTGACAATAATCCCCTCTCTCTGTCTCTCTCTCTCTTCTCCCCATCTCTCTATTTCCTCCTTCCTCCTTCCTCCTCTTCCCTTGACTCCTCTTTCTCCTCTCTCTCCTCCCTCCTCCTTTCCTCCTGCTCTCCCTCCCTCTTTCTCTCTCCCCCTTCTCCTCTCCTCCTCCCTCCCTCTCTCCTTCCTTCCTTCTCTCCTTCCCTCTCTCACTCTCTCTCCAGGGTCCCATGTGCGACTTGCTGTGGTCAGACCCGGACGATCGAGGGGGTTGGGGTATCTCTCCTCGGGGGGCAGGCTACACGTTTGGACAGGACATTTCGGAGACGTTCAACCACGCCAACAGACTCACGCTGGTGTCCCGCGCTCATCAGCTCGTCATGGAGGTCAGGCCAGTACACAAACACACAGTATATACAATCATCTCCCATTTTTGTTCAGAGTTTGTAGTGCAGGCATGTCCAAACAATGGCCCGTGGGTCAAATGCTGTCCTCAGACAAACGTTTCTTGGCCCTCAGGCTTTGAGGTGAATTGGCCCAAATTAACTTGCATCAATTAGAAATTAACTTTTTATTGCAAGTTTTTTTGATAAAGCTAATATTTAATATTTAGTGTGTAGTTTTAAGGATCTTAGCATGAATAAAGACTAATGGCTCATTCAAACGTGTTAAACATGCACATATTTCAATTATTGACTGTACTGAGCTCCAGTCTACAGTCCTCGATCAACCTCTGCTTCGTCTGTGTTTTATATATATATTTAAAAAAAAAAAAAAAAAAAAAATGTATATATATATATATATATATATATATATAGATAGATATAGATAGATATAGATAGATATAGATAGATATAGATAGATATAGATAGATATAGATAGATATAGATATAGATAGATATGTGGCCCTTGATTAAAAAAAGTTTGGACACCGCTGTTGTAGTGGTTTGGTAAAGCTGCTCATAGTTTAAAGGTCCATATCACACTGTTTTCAGATCTATGTTAGAATGTCGTTTCCTCTTCACACACAGACCTGGAGTTGTGTTTTGTTTCATTCACACATTTAACACACAACCCCTGCGTATTGAGGCTGAGTTCTTCTCTCAAACTGAAAACACATTCCACAGGGACTGCTCCACTGTGTTTTTAAAATCCATACACCTTAATTAGAATCATCTGGATAAAATCAGCCCTAGAACTGAAAAAAGGTAAAAGGTCGATGGACAGAACATTTTGAGCTTTGGCAATGTAGACGGACTAAAAATAAAGGATTACTCAAGCATGTGTGAATGAAACAAAAACAACTCCACGTCTGTTTTTGAGGAGGTAAAACTACGGTGACGTGAGTTTAAGTTCACAAGTCAGTTTTGGTTTAACTCTGAACTGAAGGACAAGTTTATTTTATTTTACAATTATCCAATCAGAAAACACAATGAGCCTCACATGACTGTCATTTGGGTGGTCAGTTCCAACGCTGAAATCCAGTGTGTTTAAACCTAAAATGCCTCTGTCTGATCTGAATGGTCACTAAACCCCAGCACCTGCACCAGTCATGAGTCAGAGCTAGTGCAGCCTCTGCAGCTCAGGGAGGGAATTCTGGAGGTTCTGAGCGTCACATGAGACCTGTCCATAAACTGAGAATGAGACAAATGCAGGATGTGTCTCTATCTGAAGGCTCTGGAAACACAGGTTTATTTGAGATGTAAAAACATTTTTAAAACTGTAAGAACACAGGACACATATAGTTCCTTTAAACCAGGGGTCTCCATCCTGTAGCCTAGTAGCTCGCCAAGGGATTTTGGAATTACACGTATTGTGCTGAACAAGTAAAATTTAATTAATTCAATTCCTATTACCTGTACATTTATCATTTTGATGCCTAACTTTGTACACTAATAAATGAATAATGGTTTATGTTTTATAGGCATCTAACTGTTCCTCATCTCAGGCTGTGGCTCTTCTATATGCTCAATTTCTTTGTAAAAGTAGCTCACCGGAGGAAAAAGGTTGGAGACCCCCTGCTTTAAACCAAACCCAATGTTACTGATGTTTTGATAATGTTCACACCTCGGTCCACATTATAACACAAACAAAATACACTGTCCACCTGAGTAGCATTTCACTGTAGACATGGTTCCCACAGGTACAGTATTTGACAATGGTATCAGTTATTTTTATGTAAATAATTTGATCATAGTCTCCTCTTTCCTCAGGGTTACAACTGGTGCCATGAGAGAAACGTTGTGACGATATTTAGTGCTCCTAATTACTGCTATCGCTGCGGAAACCAGGCGGCAATTATGGAGTTGGACGATACTTTAAAATACTCTTTGTAAGTTTCACCAAAGTTTATTTATTTAATCAATTTTTTTATTTGATTGGGACAGAGCATGTTAATGAACAAACATGACACAACATGAATGTAAACACACCGGATTGTAGCTTACAGTCAAGTCATTGCACTATTCCCATTATTTTTTCTGTCAATATTTGCACACATCCAATACATACAAATGTGTCCATAGAAGTTTTTACTCCATATTTTAAGTTCAGCTTAAAAAAGAATGTACTTATACCATGTTAAAACATGGTCAGAGCTGGGGTGAAGTAGAATGGCATGTTCACTTTTAGAATCCAGAATTACTGATGATGTTATACTCTCAAATGAGCGCAAGAGACAGTTTTATCTGTTGATTCTACTTTGAAATATCCAAAAGATAAATTCACAAAATGTTGGACATGATCATTTCTAAGAGTAACAACAAAAACCTTCAGGACCCCCCCACCACCAGTAAAGTTACATATTGCACTTTTATTATTCTGATTTTGATCCAAATTCCAGTGTTATTCATGACCACACAGCAAACCCCAACCTTTAACTCACTTCATAACTAGGAGTGCTTTGTCCATTTTAAAGCTATGTTCACAGTTTCAAACACACCATCAAAACCGGGACTGAACCAGGACTAAGCCAGGACTAATCCGGGACCAAACCAAGTCTACATCAGGACTTAAAGGCCCTGTACCAGATTTTTACTGTCTTAAAACTGTGAAAAATAGAACTGGATCATTTAAAAGAATTTGCAGTGGTCCAAAATTCTTCCTCACTTACCTTATGCATTCTGAGCATCCTAATTATTCACCATGATGTGTTTATAAGAGCTCACATCTTCCAGACATCAGAGTGGAGTTTTGCTGTGACTCTAACACACACTTCCTTATTATCAGAACATAAAATGCTTTATAGTTAGATCCAGACAGTTCACAGCCTTATTTTTAACTCAAGAGCTGTTTATACAATGTATGTGTACTGGGACGAGACACATGTTGCTCAAACACATGGGGGAAAAGTAGAGACTGGCACTTTATCCAGTGGGAATGGACCGGTGTGTGTTCTCTTAGAGGTGCAAATCACTCAAACAAAAATTCCTCTTTTTTTTTCCTCCTACAGCTTACAGTTTGACCCAGCACCGCGCAGAGGAGAGCCACACGTCACACGCCGAACCCCCGACTACTTCCTGTAACGAATTCATGTGACCCCCTCCCTGTGCAGTGCAATCCGCCATAATGCAAAACCCCCACTGAACTCGGCTTTAAAGGGCCCATATTACTGATCTGTATTCTAATGTCGTTTCCTCATCACAAACAGACCTGGAGTTGTGTTTTGCTTCATTTACACATGTTTAACAAACCCTGCATGTAGGCTGAGTTCTTCTCTCAAACAGAAAACTCTCCACCTTGTGATGTCATGGGGTAATATGGGAAGTGCTCCACTGTGTTTTTAAACTCCATATATCTTCACTAGAATCATTTAGATCATTTTGTCCCTGGAATTGCCAGTCTCTACTGAACTAAAAGTAAAAGGAGCTCTTGAAAACTACCACTTCATGACATCACAATGTGGAACAGAGCATTTTGAGCTTTGGAGCTGCTGACAGGCTACTAATAAATTGTTACCCAAACGTGTGAATGAAACAAAACACAAGTTCAAGTATGTTTTAACAATATTCTAACATGGCTTAAAGCTCACAAGAGTCAATTTTGTGTAATATAGGACCTTTAAAGAACAAACAAATGAAAAAGGGGGACAGCAGGGCACACGGGCCACGTTCAGTTTCTCTTCACTTACCTCCTCCAAGCCTTAAAAAGATGTTGGTGCCAGTAAAATTGCAATGAAGGACAGCTAAGAATCCTACGGTACAATTTGTCTTTTAACTTGAGCTGGTTTATGGTTCATATCTCTTTAATTACTGGCCGTTTACATAAGATTATTTATTTTAATCTGGATAGTTATATTTACAATGGGTTATGGTTTCGGGTTTGGAGGAGGAAAAAAACTGAAACAGAAATTGGATGTGCCCCAAATTCACACAAAGATTTACATTGTCCTCCATTGATACAGACTCCTCTATAAGTTCACTTTGTGTTTTGGTACAGCAGTCATTTATGAGCTAAACTAGGTATTAGACCAGGTACTAAACTGGGACTAAACTGGGTACTAAACCAGGACTAGATTAGGGACTAAGACACTAGACCAGGGACTACTTTCTGTTATGGTATAGTAGAGGCAAAGGAGAAAAATTCGTTTGATCAGCCATGAATTCTACGTGGCTGACTGAGGGATTCTTCACACATGGTATAGCAGACTTAGTTCATGAATCACTACTACTAGACCAAGTACTAGATCAGGTACTAGACAAGCTACCAGACCAACACCAAATCAGGGACTACTTTATTTTATAGTATGGAACTATATATTCAAGAACTAAACTAGAAATAGATGGAGTACTTAGACCAGGGACTATTTTGTGTTCTATTATAGCTGTGATACAAGAACTAGACTAAAACTAAACTAGGACTAAACTAAATGCCAGATTGGGTAATAGGCCATGGATTTAAAGGAGGGACTGAACCAAGTCTTGACTGGGGACTAGACCAGAGACAAAGATATAAAATAAAAATGGTACTAATATTTGTGACCCTCATTCATTTAAACTTATAATTGGAAAAAAAAGTCTTTAGTATTATTTTTCCCACTAAGAAGCACTTTAATCAAATCTTTGCTTGTCTTGAAATGGCAGCAGTGTGAATGGAGGGCTTTGTATTTGAAAATCTCGTGTGTGTCTCTTGGAGCAGACCGTGCCATAATCAGTCCAAAATTCTTGAGAAAAAGTCTTGAGAAAATGTCTTCTTCAAAAGTTGAGATGAATAAAATACGACCTTATATGACTAAAATGGCCCCTGATTGGCCATGGCCTCTTTATCTTGAGTTAAACTGTTTGCACTTTTGTAAATGAGAAAAAAAAAAGAAATGTAAAATATGTCAAAAATAGAAAGCAGAATATGACACTATGGATGTTTTTCTTCTTAATTTGTATTTTTAAAAGATAAATCGAAGCCCCGTATCGCTGGTTTTACACATTGTTCCTACGTTCTGTACCTTTTGTTAGACAGCTCCACTCAGCATGGTGTGTTTTATTGAAGAAATCATTCAGAACTCACTCTGAACTTCTGTATTTAATCACATCATTTCAATAATAAACTCAAAGGTGGCTCATCTGTGTTTAAGCGCCTCATGTTTTGTTTGTTGATATTCTGTTAAGGGAGACTAATATTATCTTATAGTAATCTTAGGTGGGTAGTACTGGGTTACATTTTCTTTACTTTAAGTTACTTTACTCAGTTACAGTAACTTTTGAAAAAAAACTTCAGAGTACTTTTCCAGCAGCGTACTTTTTCTCCTACTTGAATAATATTTTGATTATAGAAACAGTACTCAAATATAAGCATCCACAAAAGTACTTCTGTTTTGTCTGACTTGTTCATCGTTCAGTTTGTACTCAGTTTTATGTGTTTTGAATTTGTTTAAAGATGGTAAAAACTAAACTTATATTACATTTGCTATAATTTAACATGACACTTTTATATTAAAGGTCCTATATCATGCAAAATGTACTCCTGCGAGTTTTAAAATGACTTATAATGTTATTGCCTTCTCAAAAACAGATCTAGAGTGGTGTTTTGTTTCATTCACAAATGTTTGAATGACCTCTTCTTATCTGTCTGTATCTCCAAAGCTCAAAATGCTCTGTTCCAGCATGTGATGTCATGTGGTGGTTGTTTTCAAATTTACAGCAGTTACCTTAGTCCAAAGCAGAGACTGGTCCTTCTAGTTCTGAAATTATCCACTGTGTACTGTGGTACATTATAAGTAAAGCAATAAAATGTCCAAAGAGACAAGCAGGTGATGATCAAACTGTCTAAATGTGCACACATTTCAATGTGGTTTAGTTTCCCATAATGTTCATTTGATGTAAGGGTAGAGTTTAGTAATGGAATCATAGCAACACCTTTTGGTCAGTTGAGTGACTACAACAAAACGTGCACCTGTGTTTGAAATGTTTTTACAGGAGCATCTAAACTTTAAGAGGAGCACTTATTCATAATTATTTGTATTTATTTTTATTATTTGTATATTTTTATAATAATACATATAAATGAAATAACAATATTCATTGAATAACATATTTCAAATAAATATAAAAGTATAACCAATAAAATAGGTATATTAATTACTGTATTTGCGTTTCTTGTTTTTATTTCAATAACTAATTAATTAAAGCAAAAATATATAAATATAAAAAAGTAAAATATACTCTGGCGGAAGTTTCCCTGGAAGTCTCTAGTGTTGCACGGAACTCCTTCCTCCCGAGCTTTGGTTCCTGTCAGTGCAGCACAACATCAACATGTCGTGATTGACCGTGTTTTTTCGACTTATTTTCTTCTAATATAAAAATGAATGCGCTTTTAAATATCCTCTACGTTTGGACGTCTTTATTATTTTTGCTTTATCTTTCAGAAGTTTTTAAATCGGCGTCAGCACAAGGTAAGGCAAGGATAATGTTAGCCAACACTGCTAGCATTTCCCAACAGAAACAAAATCCTCTTAAATTAACGTTAGTTTGCATCGTAAATATTTATAATAGTGAGTTAGTCTTTATTATTGTCAAATTCTTCAAAGTTGTTTGTTGGTTTTAAATTGTAGCTTAAATGGTTATTTAAGTCTACTTCTTTCCCTCTCATCTGGGTTCAGTAGCCAGTTTTATGATCTTAAATAACTGTGATATTGTTTTATTCCATAAATGTTGAAGTTAATGATTAGTGACAAAGTGCATTATCCAAATCCAGTGATTAAAATCACTAACTTTCTAATCACAATTCAATATTAGAGGAACTATTAGAGGAACGACAACTAATTTATATTATAGATAATAATGGATCTTTTCTATCTTTTTAAAGCTACAATCTGTGTACTTATTATTTGAGTGGCTAATGAATCTAATAACAAATGGTTACTTTGTAATTGTATTGTTAATATATATTGTGATTGCAAATTGATGATGCAGCTAAGTGCTCTGATTCTTTTGTTAACTTTTTCAGAAAATGAGGATGTTTTGGACTTCGGTCTGTCAGAGGAGTCTGATCTGGAGAACATCCCAAAGTTCGTTGAGTCGGAGGAAGTGAATTCTTTACCCAAAATGCAGTTCAAAACGGCCGAAATTGCAGATGCTGTCATGGGAACAGAGTCGCCCATAGATCCAGCAGAAATCCAGTCGCTGTTTCCCAAAAATGTGCAGAATCCTCAGACCCAGGGGTTTTCTCCTCCCTGTGACGAGGCACAGTGTGTTTCAGAAGGACAGTCAGTCGAATCCAGCTTGGAAGACACACAGCAGGTCTGTACAGGGTCTGTACATTTAAAACCAGTAGATGGGCCTGGTGAAAAACACTGCTTTACACAATTGCTCTAGGTCACAAGTACTAATCAATTTGTATTTTTAATGAGGAGGTGTTATGCAACATTGACTTTTTGGGTGCATAACCAGAAAGCTTTTTAGAGCATTCTACCATGTTATAACAGTTTTCCTTCATCAGAAATATAAATGGCATCCATGCATGTTTGAGCAATCTAATGATCTTTCCCGGGCCCTATTCAAACCCAGTACAGTACAATTTTGTTGAATGCTCTGCCAACACACCTATGTCACTTGTGCACAGCCACTTTCCATAAATATACAAAAACATGATACAAACTATACTCTACAACTTCACAAGCCTGACGTGATGTGCTGTAGTTTAATTATCAGGATGTACACTGACTGTGTTGTGATAGTGCTCTGAACCAGTCTACTCTCAACTTCAGCCACATTATTGGTCTGAACTTGTGTCTTTTCCCTTTTGTTTCTCATGTCCTTTGTGATGTGCTTCATGTAGGTCTCTTTGGAGATGGTGCACTCAGAGGCGTTGGCTCCAGAGGAACACAATACCACTGAAACCGCAAAAACCTTTAAAGTGAACTGTGACAAAAGGAACATCACCGGAGTGGCTCTGTTCACTGTCCACGTCCTCAACGGCTCTCAGGTCACTCACATGTGCTCTTTATACTTTGGACTGTATACTGTATAGGGATGGGCTTATATGGATTTTTTGGCGCCAATACTGATATCCGATATTTGACCTGCTGCTGTGGCCGATAAAAGATATTTGCTGCTGCTGCTGATATTTCGCTTTTAAAATCCATAGTATTTATTTATTAATTTTATGTCGAGTAGAGCACACATCTGAATGCTCTTCTATTTCCATTGTTCCTCATGAGCCTGTTCAAAGACAAAGCTGATGTACAAAGGACAAGCTGGGAATGACATTTTTAAAATGTGAACTTTGAACCGAATCTCATTATTATAACATAAAGTACAAATCTAATGGGAAATAAATTATAATTAGACATTTTCACCTTGAAATGTTGAGCCCTATTGTATAGCAGCCATCTTTATCCCCTCTGTGTCCCTGTCTGCAGGACCTGATGGAGTTCTTAAATGCTAACAGCTCCGAGTGCTCCGTGGTGCTCTTCTTCACAGCCTGGTGCCAGTTCTCTGCCTCTCTAGCGCCTCACTTCAATGCCCTGCCCAGGGTATTTCCTAGCATGCACTTTTTAGCACTGGATGCCTCGCAGCACAGCAGGTCAGTGGACATGGCAAAGTTCATTATTGAAAATAGTCATCAGAAACTTCTGCAAAATGTACATTTACATGGGGAACTGTAACTAAAGATTCAAAATAAACATTTGTTGACCTGGTTTATAGTTCATATCTCTGTAATTACTGGGCCTATCCACATAAAACAAATACTTGCACAAATTTTAACATAGTCTTTGTCAGCACAAATTAAATCTGGTAACATATTTTATTTTACAGCTTAAAAAGTAGTGGCAACCTGTTAATAAACAGGATTGACTGTAGCCAGTAGAACTGACACCAGTTTACCTAACTAAGTAAACTAATGCTAAGTCGTAAAATAAGTCATGTCTCTCCCCCTTCAGCCTCTCCACCAGGTTTGGGACGGTGGCCGTGCCCAACATTCTCCTGTTCCAAGGAGCTAAACCCATGGCTCGATTCAACCACACGGACAGAACTCTGGAGACGCTCACTGCGTTCATCTCCAACCAGACCGGTCAGTGCACCAGTGTACCAGAACTTATCAATTATTTATTTATATAGCAACAGGTTTTATTACACTTTGTTTCAGTGTTAGGCCAAACTGTATATTGTTGCTGTTGCTGTTACTACCATGTCATGTTAACGGTTATAATAATAACACTTTATTCTTAATGCGCTAAACTCTGTGACGACTTATTTGTTAATTCGCTCAGTTTATCACCGCTCACACTGTGGCTACTTCTGTTGTCACAGCTGCCTTGGGACAGACGGACAGAAGGGAGGCTGCCAATTTGCGCCATCAGCCCCTCTGACCACCAACACTCACATACACACAACATTCATACTAGGCAATAAGGGTGAAGTCTCTTGCCTAAGGGCAACAGTTTGCACTAGAGCCACAGCTGCTCCACAGTAGCACCTGGTACCATCCAAGTACTAACCAGACCCAGCCCTGCTTAGCCTCTAACAACTGACAAGATCAGGCATAATTGTATGCTACACAAAATAATCTTCCACATTTACCAAAGACAGGGTCTGTTCTCCACTTATCTCCCCTTTTTATGTTTGTATTGGTTGACAAAAATAGTTCTCCACTATGTTTGTCATATTTACTTTTGTATTTAGTTTTCATAAAGAAATACGAAATTAACATAAAATGTTCTGTGATCATCTTTTAGGTTTTGAGGCAGGCCCGGACAGAAACGTGAGTGTTGCAGACCTGGAGGGGCCCCTGAGCTCGGTCCCTGTGCGAGGTTTGGACTGGCTCCTCGTCTTCTCTGTCCTCTTCATCACCAGCTTCAGTGTGTATGCAGTGCTCCGGGCCGACAGTATCCGATGGCTCATCCCGGGACAGGAGCATGAGCACCAGGACTGACACGGACACAGGAATGGACTGGCATAAAAGATTTAGGAAAACTAATCTATGTTTATGTGTGTTTATGTGTGATGTGTTTCAAGGATTTTAGTAATTTATAATATGAAATGCTTTGTGATTTTTGTTTTCACTCTCCTGCTGATCCATGAAGAAAAAACACATCTATCCAACAACATCTGATCAAATCAAATTGTCTCTGGTAGATTCTTCCTTATGGTGCTCATCCAACCAAATGCCTTTAAAGGTTGTAGGTCCCTTGTTACCGCAACAAAAACAGACCTGGAGTTGTGTTTTGTTTTATTCACCATGTCTACATCTCCAAAGCTCAAAATGCTCTGTTCCACCTTGTAATATGGTAAGCAGTAGTTTTCAACTGAACAGCTACCCTTTACATTTACTTTGTAGAAAATGGAAATTCCAGGGCTCAAATTATCCAAATGATTCTAATGAAGTTGTATGGAGTCCTGTCTACATGACATCACAAGGTGGAACAGTGTTTTCAGTTTGAGAAAAGAACAAACCACAACTCTTTTTTTTATTTTTATTTTTTTTAAATAGATCAGACAATCATCATAGGCCCTTAAAAGTATATAGGCAATATAATCAATTCATAAATTTTCCCACATCTTTTAATACAATTGACTGTATGTTTCTGTACAAGCAGTTTAAAATCTGGCATTTTTTTTATTTTTGGAAATTTCTGCAAAAACAAAACAAAAACAAACTAATTTCTGGTTCAACATTTGTATTTATTTATTAAAATACCTGTATTTAAATAAATGGAAAACTGCAAATGGAAAGCTGCCTCTCCCAGAAACAACAAAACTAAAAGTTACATGGAGCAACTTTAAGCACAAATTAAATAATATAGTACATAGTAAGTTTAATTTTATTTTTTACCTGGGGGCCCCTTAAAGGTATGACCCGCCCTCTGGTTTGTTTTGACCGGGACACGTGTATGCCCTTTGCCCGGCCTGCGCTCCCCTCACACGGCGAAGAGGCGGCACCACCCCGCGACCTGAAATCTGGAAGAGCCGTATCTCTGCGGAACAAAGCGCCGTTTATGTCCCGGTTAATGTTTAGCCTGAGGGCTGGCAGCTCATGGCCCCTGAGCCGTGTGTCCGCGCTCCTGGCCCGGCGTCACTCTGCTGCACACATGGTAAGAGCTCCAGTGGGTTTAGCATTAGCTTCTGTTAGCATTTAGCTCCGTGCACAACAGCGATGGGAAGTAGCTCTAATCTGCAGGTGTTAAGAAAAAGGTACAAATTATGCAACAATGTCCATATTTTTTGGAACTCCAATAATAAGGAAGCACAAGAGTTCTTAATAACTTTGACAATATTTTATTTATGTGTGTGTTTAATGATTAAATGAACTTAATTCTGTGATTTAATGCTAACAAAGGTGTTCTGTTGTATTGACGTCTCTAGTGGCATGGGCACACACTTGCAGCCATTGGTTAACAGGAACACATGACGTCATTACGTTCAGAATGACCAAAACTACATACAGCCCTTTAGTCGACTCTGACCGGCCCGTTTATGCTCATTTGGAACTGCAAAATAAACATATTTTATAATTTTACCTCATGCATGGACTAAAGCGGCATTGCTTTTATTTTAGAGGTGTTTTTTTTTTTTATTATTATTACTACGTTTTTTGTAAGGCATAGTCATATCATAAACTTTTACCAGTCTTACCAGCTTGTCAAACAATGCTATGTATTACTTTTTTATAAATAAATACAATTGATATTAGTGAGTGAAGTTAAGCATTTTGGCCTCCACAATATTTTCTGTTTCTCATGTGGCCCCATGGAAAAAATAACTGCCCACCGCTGTTGTCTATTATTGCATTAGTGTTCTGTCTGTCTGGTCCTAACAGAAGATAGGTCACTCTTGACAACTTTAAAAAAAAAAAAAAAGAAAGTTTTATACTATAATTAGGCTTTAGGTTAAATGAAGTGTCTTGATTAGGCTACTAATCACATTATGGGCATGAAAAAGTTGGATTTGAGATTCTGGAATGTGTTGATTTCATACTCTCATAGACTATTGATTACATTGTAGTTTTGATGAAATCTCCAAAAAGTAAATTTACAAATGTTAGACCTGATCATTTCTATTAGTAACTAGAGCCAAGAACTCACTGTGTTACAACACAAATCTACATTTGAACAATATTATGTTTGAGTGAAATCTCACCTGTATTAAAGGTCCTATATTACACAAAATGGACTCTTGTGAGCTTTAGGCCATGTTAAAATGTAACCTAAAATGAAACAAAACATAACATGGACCCTTTAAATATGATTGATTATAGAATGTTGTGATGTCACCTGAAAGTCAGCAGTATAAATAAAAATCTGCATTGCGTTGTATTTTATTTCATTGTTTTGTTGTATTTTGCACACCTGGACACATTAAAGGTGCATTATGGAACTTTTGTGGTGGAGGGTCCGTCAGATGCTTTTGTCCATTGAGATGTTGTTGCTTTGTCATTGCTTTTTGGAATGTTTCACAGTATGGCATTAAACCTTTCAATCTTCATGGACCAAACCAGACCAAGTTACAGGTCAGATCTGTGGAGAGTTGACCCCGCTCACAGTCAGAATATCTGTTTTTCTAGGGATTTTTGAGCTATAAAACCACCTGTAATTGAATAAATGTAAGGTAGAGCTGTTTAATGTCATACTGTGGCAGAGTAATGATGTATCCATAGGGACAGCAATGGTGACGGACCCTCCACCAGAAAAGTTACACAATGCACCTTTAAGAAACAGAATAAAGATTAAGTATATAACCATATACTTAATGAAAGTAGTCCCCTGTGTGGATTATTCTGTGTGCTTCTCATTGCAGTCCTCCGGCTCTCATGGGCTCTCCTCTTCTGAGCGCAAGCAGCTTCTGTCCGAGCTCAGAGAAGCAGGATGGGTCCAAGTAGAAAACCGAGATGCCATCTTTAAAGAACTGCACTTCAAAACGTTCAACCAGGTCACAATCTTGCTTCTGTGTGATTCTACTGTGTGCTGGTGTCTCTGTGTCAAAGATAAGGTAGAGGGCCTGTATCTCTTTGTTGTTAGATTAGGTTCAGACTCGTGTTGTCACTACACTAACATTTCATACTTCATTTCCGTACTAAGGAATAGATTTGATACTGATACAACAATGATTACAAAAACACTCTTTGGACAATAGAATGTGATTTTCAACATCAAATCAGAGTACTTTTCTTTTCTATTTCCATGTCACATTCCCATTCTATTCCCATGCCACATCATTCTAAAGCTGTCTGGGAAACTTTCAATTCTGTGCTGTGAATGGGACTTTTTTTTTAGTATCAATACTTAGATACTAGTTGTCCCGCTTTGTTATTGTTTTAATCCTGATGTAGACTTGGTTTGGTTTAGTTCAGGTTTATTTTCACTTTGAACTCTTGGCTTTTTCATGAGGAACACACTAGGGCTTCAAAGATCAGCTAATCATCACTAGTTAACTGTAGAAAATAATCATACTTGGACTATACAGACTCCAAAACGCACACAAAAATACCTTTTATAACAATATTATTAAATCTAAATGTCAGAAAGTAATATGCAATTTATCAATTTCATCAATAATACACCTTATTTGTAAATATTCTCTATTTAGAAGAGTTCAATTACCATTTTTCAGTCTTTTATTCAGTTAAAATGTATAAAATGTCTCAATTCCTAATGCTTACCACCAGATGGAGACATACAACAAATATACTGTACAATTTGTAGAATTACATAGATTTACAAATGCATTTTTTGACATTTGTCAAGCATTATTTAAGAGAAGAATGAAATATGAACTGTGAACTAATCCAAGAATCCCATACATTTCAGAATGTGTGTGTAAAGGTCTGAACTACAAGGTTAGCAGCTTTTACACAGAATAAGACTCATCTGACACACAGGGAGGGCATCTGACACACAGGGAGGGCATCTGACACACAGGGAGGGCATCTGACACACAGGGAGCACAATCACAGTCAAATTGCAATTTGATTGCAATTTACAAATCACAAAGACTGCAATTTTTGATGTACTGTAATTTCCTCCACAAACAACAAAATCTCCTGTCTTCTGCATAAAAACAGCTAACCCTATAGTTTAGAGGCACATAAACATGTTCTGAATTGTGAATCTTGTATTAGTTTGTCAGTTCAAATTTTATATTTGTCTTTTTGTCAATTCTTCTGGACCTGTTTAAAGTCTTAAAGTCCGTGAAAGTATCGCTTGTGAGATTTTAGCCTTCTTAGAATGATGTTACCTCCTCAAAAATAGACCTGGAGTGTGTTTTGGTTCATTCACACGTTTGAATGAACCAAATCCTTTATCATTAATTTAGCCTGATTCATCAGCCTGTTTGACTTCGTGGAAACCGTCTGACCTCGCAGCATTAGAATTTGTTCACTCGACGGCAGACGGGTACTTTTTTAATTTAACCAATCACTGCTGTTTGGTTGTGATGTATGTAATGCTCCACTAATGGGACTAACTGGTATATTAAGCTTTTCCCAAGTCCTGTAGGAAGAAGGGCAATAACGTCTTTCCCCTTGATAAAATTCACTTAACATTCTCTTTGTTCCGGCTTTAAATCCTTGATCTCGGGAATTGTTTGCCAATTGCCAACACAGAATATAAGGCTCTTCTCTGATTGGTTGGTGCCCGAACTCACTTCCGGGATTTTTGCGAACCGTCTAGTGTATTCTGATTCCTGACCTAGTTGCTGGCGAGAAATGAAATTGAGCAAAGGCAGTAGGTGGTGCCAGTCATCTATATTACCAAAACTCAAAATGCTCTGTTCCACCTTGTGATGTCATGAGGTGATAGTTTTAAAATTAACAGCTACGTTTTACCCTTAGTTCAGTTAAAAATGACAATTCCAGGACTGAAATCATCCAAATGATTATAGTGAAGGTGTGTGGAGTTTAAAAACACTATGGAGCACTTCCTGTATTACCACATGACATCACAAGGTGGAACTGAGTGTTTTCAGTTTGAGAGAAGCCTAAATGTGCAGGATTTGTGTGTTAAACATGTGTGAATGAAATAAAACACAACTCCAGGTCTGTTTGTGATGAGGAAACAACATTAGAACAGAGATCAGAAAACAGTGTGATATGGGCCTTTTAAATGTGAACTTGAACCGAATCCTATTAAAACATCAAATTGAATCTAATCGCAGTGCTTATCAGAAAAATCACACTACAAAAATCAGTACAGCCCTTGAGTAAATGTTTGTAAATGTTGCCAGATTCGTGCAGGTTTCCAGCATCTTGGGCCCACTTAAGGGACTTCCTCTAATCTGAAAGTGAGTCGTTTTCGCCTCTGTTTTTTACACGTTTTTGGGTTTGAAGTGAGCCCCTCGTCCCAGGCGTCAGTCCCACTTTGCCTGAGCAGATCCAGAGCAGCAGTTGGCAGTAATTGAGGTCGATCAGAGCGATTCCTTTCACAAACACATCAAATTGGTTAAAATGTTTCATCTGGAGAAAACCACCACGAGCTCCTGCGTGTTCAGACCACTTTGATTCACTTGGTTTTGTCTTCTGTGTTTTTCACAAAGAGTTCTTGTTGCGCTTAATTAGGAAGAAAGTGGACTTGTGTCAGAAATAATCAGGAACTTTTTAGAGGAAATACCAAATAATTATTATTTAGCAATTCAGCTGTGGAAATAAGAAATCTTTGTTTAATTGCAATTTTTTAAAATTATAGTAAATGAAAAAATATTGAAAGTTAAATAAAATATGTTAATTAGTGTGTTAATTGGTATAATTAGTCAATAGAAAATTTGGGCGTTTCCATTTTTTCCCCCGTATTTCTTCCACCTGTAGTTTTTTTTTCTTTTTTTTCCAGTTTTAAGTTATAGGGAACATTTTAGGGGCTTTTCACTGTTCATTCATTTTTCATCACTAGGAAACCCAAGTTGTAGTTGGACCAGGAAGTTCGAGTACATAAAACCCAGCCTCCTGCTGTAGTCCTGGTTTAGTCCTTCTCTAGTCCTTCTGTTGTCCTGATTTAGTCCTGCATTAGTCCTGACTTAGTCCTGGTTTAGTCCTGGTTTAGTCCTGCTTTATTACTGGTTTAGTCTTGCTTTTGTCCTTGTTTAGTCCTGGTTTAGTCTTGCTTTAGTCCTGCTTTAGTCCTGGTTTAGTCCTAGTTTAGTCCTGCTTTAGTCCTGGTTTATTCTCAGCCTCCTGTTGGTGCCCAGAGTCAGGACTAAACATGAGTTTCAGTTTCCTGCGTCCACAACACTGAAATAGTGAGATGAAAGTGTTGGTTAGAGCAGCACCTGTCAGTGTACTGTTCCTCTAAACAAGTGGAGAATGCAGTAGTGTGCAGTACTTTTATGGATAGGCAAGCAGACTTTGGGAGGACATCAGTACTTGTACTTGTACTTGTACTTAGTAAGAATTTAATAACCCACTCTTTAAACAAACTGCATGGCAGATGAGTATATTTATTTTGACTGACATATTAAATGCTCGTACTGAGTCATCCTGGAGTCTAATAAGAGAAGCCTAGACTTATAAAGACACATTTCTCTTTTACACTCCAGTCACTTATTGTGCAATTCTTGAAACTCCACCAAGACTGCCACAAAGGCAGGTTATAACACATTTATGACGGATTGCTAAATTATGATTTGATTAACATTACAGAGAGAAGCAAAGATGTCAAATCATGATGTTCAAATCAAAAAATGAAGCCAAAATAACCAGCCCTACTTTCTCTGTACAAATCCTACTTGTTTTGATTCATTTCTGTAGCCAGAGTTTTTCTCATGAGGTAACCACTGACTGTCTTTAAAGCGTTTTTACTGCAGCGACAGATGAGAGGAGCCACTCTACTGTGAGTGATGTGAAATCCAACTCCTGACTTTAATGACACACACACGCACCTGCAGGACTGCATTTTGACCAACAGGGGGCAGTACAGCAACAGGCAACACTCAACACTGACGCTTTTCCCCCTCTATCCTCCTTTTATTCATTTGGTGTTTTATTGTTTAATTAATTACCTTGAGAAACAGGCATTCTTACTGTGAGTGTTCTCGCCTCCTCACAGATCTGACTTGTAACGTGGCCTGGTGGTCTCACCTGTTTGCCTTTATGGAAATAAAATAGTAATAATAATATAGTTTATCATTTTTTTCATGGCTGATGCTGATACTTTTAGTTTAGAATCCAGAGAAACTGATATCTGATAAACTCTCCCTGTATTTTCTCAAAAGATTAAGTTTGAATTACAAAGTCCAGGGTTTCCACGGTCATGGAAATCCTGGAAAAATCATGGAAATTTTAAATGTTCAGGCCTGGAAAAGTTATGAAATTTTAGTATCTCGTTCACACAACTCCAGCGTTCTGTTAATTTCTCATTAGGCTGTTTTGAATGTTCCAAATCTATAATTCTAAACCATAAGGTGAGTGGAAAGAGTTAACGCAACTCTGATCAATTCTACACATGTAGGTGCCGTAAAGGAAAATTCACATTAGGTCATGAAAAACTCGTGGAAAAGCTTTGAAATTTGGTCAGTGAAAAAGAGTGAGAACCCTGAAAGTCGTCCAGAAGCGTGTTTTCCTGCAGACTGTATCAGAGAGCTGTGGAGTCACATTTGTGCACTGTCCTCTGTGTAAATAAATAGTAAATGGTCACATTTTATATAGTGCTATTCCACCTTCTCTGCATTCAAAAGGTTTTCTGTGTTTTCTTCAGCTGGTTGGTCAAAATAAAATTTTGCCAATGCTGGAGAGTTAAGGCCGATTTCCTATGTGATAATAAATGCAAATATCGGCCTGGCATGTATTGGTCGACTAAAATATCGCTCTGTCTTTAGTATTTTTTTTTTATATTGTACAACTCTGACAGAGCTACACATAAAGAAGTAAAACATAAGGGAACATTCTGAAATGATTATTAAACATCAGTATAAAAGGGGAAATGATGTTTCCTAATGCCATACTG